CCGATTGTTCTGGGATTCAAAGCTTGTATTAGTAACCCCCAAGGCCATCAGAGAGGCACACACTGATGAACGAGGATAGTAACGACTTTTGTAGATCAGTGCTGCTCTTGAGTATTGCAACCTCCACTCCAATTGGGTATTGTAATATCTAGTTTTCATGCAATCGCTCCTTTTGATTGCAATACTTTTCAAGCGGATAAACCAATTGCTTCTTTCCCTTGCCTGCCGGTGACATTAACCAAGCTGAAGCAGTAACACCAACAAAGAGTGCCTTTGTTGTAGGGACTTCCAGTGTAGCCCGTCGTGGTCGCTCTTGGTATTTTGACATGAACGCTGCGGCTGAGACCAGTGGATTTTCGCCTCCCTTCGTCAAGCCAAAACACTAAGCTCTGAAGAGTTATCGTTGCAGTCAGAAAAAAAACACCGTGCTCTACGTAAGGTCGAGTGAGAGGCGTCGTAATGTGAGCGGAAGTATTTACAGTCTGGATCCTACGACAATGAAATCAAGATCAGACGAAGAAATGACACAAGTTGGCTTCTCGACGCCATTTCAATTACCCCTCTACGACACACAAAGGATCTGGAAAGCAAGTTAGCGAGAGTCATTCACGGCACCTTCAACTACGAATGTTGGTGAGCATCGAGTTGGCGGTGTTAGTCACCGTCGTCACGCAAAGAAGCCAATATAAGATCGACCGGATTTTCAGGAATCGATAAAGATGACATCGACCTTCATATCCATGACATCATCCGTGTTGAGTCTGACATGGAAAATTAGTTTTATTTGTCACTAATCGTTCATTATTCAAATTGCAACGACTCAATCACACCCTTCATCATATTCCAACGCGATGTCTGCAAGACGCACCACAGCTACGTCCGACACCTTGGATAAGTCCGGTTTCCGGTTGCAGCGGCATTTGGATGTGGTATTCACCGCCCCGTACCACTTCAACAGCAGTCACGTCCGACGCGTCAAGATCCATACAGGCATTATCCTCGAGTTTGCTATGCACCAACACCCACTCACGTGGGAGCATTCGATCGAAGATGAAGCTGCAAGTGAAGATGAAGTTCGAGTGGTGTTTATTATGGGTTTTCTTAGCTGCAAGGAGGCGTGGACTCCGACAATTGAAACAATGCTGCGTCAATGGGATGAGCTGAAGACTGGGAAACGTCTGAAGATCTTGACGTTTGATAACCGCGGCGTTGGTGGCTCCACATCGCCCATCGGTCCTTACACCACGAGTAACATGGCTGAAGATATTCTCGCATTACTGGACCATATCGGTTGGGAACAGTCTCACGTTGTGGGCTACAGCATGGGAGGAATGATCTCGCTTGAGCTGGCGCTGCTGGCTCCAGAAAGAGTGAGGTCGTTGTCGCTATTGTGTACGACACGAGGTCGATACATCCCAGTTTGCAACGGCGTGTTGCCGATGACCAGAACACTTGACCATCGCGACGTTAATGCGGAGACTCATAACCTCCTGATGGTGCTTTATCCACCTAAATTTCTCTCTCAAAGCATGGAGAATGACCCACGAAGTGTCTATGAAGCCATGTTCGAGTGCCACAAGTATCTGGTTGAGAACCGCGAGACACCACGAGTCTTCGGCTTCATGGGTCAAGGGTCAGCTGTACTCTCGCATTTCGTATCGGACGAACGTCTACATGCTATTCGTGACCACCACTTCCCCATTCTCGTGGTCGGCGGCGCGCAGGACGTCGTCATTCCATCATGTGAGACCCAGACGCTATATAACCATTTAGCTAGCGACCATTCTCGAATGGTCATGTACGAAGACGCTGGACACGGCGCTTTCTTCCAATATGTAGACGAGGTGGCCGAAGATATTATCAAAAACATCCAAGCTGCCGAAGCTAACGTTTAAGGTCGAGATTGTATTAATAATGATATTACATGTTAAGTACGAATTAATAATAGGCATTTTGAGCTAAACAGTACTTTCAAGCACGATGTTATCGGACGGTGTTCTGCTGGCCATCTCGCTCGGGGGCCTGGCTGCGACGGTGCTGCTGGTGCTCTTCTTCGCGGGCTTCTTCGCTGGAACTAAAGTGCGCTATCTCCTCTCCGTGTTATTTAATTCTCAGTCTCTAACTCCTGTAATCTGACCAATTACAGAAAGTAGCTCATGAAGACCAGGCCGAAGTGGTCCGCGGCGGCGAGAGAGGCGGTCTGGCGGCGCTACGCAAGCGCAAGGACCGCAAGAAGCGTAATGCCGAGCGAGAGGAGGCTGCTGCTCCCGTAGAGGCTGCCGCTCCGGCTCAAAACGAGGCTGCGGAAGCCGCAGAGGAAGAAGAAGGTCCCGTGGAGCCGTACGTGACTCACGATTGAAGAATACAAAGTTCTGTGGCTAATTTTTGGATGCTTATAGACGAGCTATGACGAAAAAGGAGCTGCAGAAGGAGCTCAAGCGACGGGAACGTGAAGAATTGCGTCAGGTACGGGCAGTATAGGCTTTGAAAGTTTTGTGTCGACTTAATTTTCACAACGTTGGTTAATTTTTTTTTACTGTAGTTCGACCAGCAGCAACGCGAGGAGCGTCAACGTATAGCTGAGGAAAAAGAAGCTGCGTACCAGAAGAAACGTGAAGAGGAAGCCAAGATTGAAGCAGCTCTTGAAGAACAAGAACGGAAATTGAAGGAAGAGAAGGAACGCAAGGAGAAAGAAGAGTTCGACCAATGGAAAGATATGTTTACTATCGAAGAGCAAGGCACTAAACTGGCAGAAGATAGTGAGGAGAGTCAGACACTGCTGCAACAGTTTGTAGACTACGTGAAGTCTCACAAGGTGGTGCTGCTTGAAGATCTCGCCTCGGAGTTCAACTTGGCTACACAGGAGGCAATCGATCGCGTGGAGTCACTACAGGCGTCCAACCGCCTCACAGGGATCGTGGACGACCGTGGCAAGTTCATCTACATCACCGAAGAGGAAATGGATAAAGTAGCCAAGTTCATCCAGCGCCGCGGACGTTTAGGCTTCTCTGAGCTGTCGAAAGAGTGCAATAAGCTCATCCGACTAGACGGAGAAGCCGACAAGAACAATCCGAGCTCGTTAGACTGGCTCAACAGCGACGAACAGCCCCAGGAAGTCGCAGACTTGTCCGTTTGAGTTTGATACGTTACAGATTTAGAAGATCCTAAATTTGAAATGTATTTTCTCGACAAGTGGAAATCAATCTGAAACGTATCAGATTCTTAAGCGTCGAAGTACCATTGAGCAGCTTTCCGACGGAAGTTCGTGGTCGGCATGTGGGTGGAGAACTGTTTGACGCGCTCTTTGTGCTGCTTCTCGGCGAACTGCATGCGCTTGAGTTCTAGAAACTCGGCCTGCTTTTTCTGGTCTTCTAGAATTCGTTTTTCTTCCTGTTGACGTAGTAAATCTGACTGCGTCCGTTTGAGTTCTTCACGACGTTTTTCCTGGTCACGAAGCTCTTTCTGCAGAGCTTCCTCTGAGTCATGCTTGATCTGGTTCATATATGCCGTGTCTTCTTCTTTGGCTTGGAGTTTATTAGCGCGTTTGGCCTCAATCTGGCTATTACGAGAAATTAGAACCTGGCGTAATAGTTCCTGACGAGCTGCTTCCTCTGCGTCGTGCTGAGCGTCGTGCTTGGCCCACACTTCGTCTTCCATGTCCTTGCGGATTTTATCCAGATACGAGAGATCCTCCGCCTCTGTCTCCATCTGGCGCTTGAGCATACGCTGGTAGTTGAGCTGATCCTGTCGAAATTTATCCTGCAACTCTCGCTCACGACGCTGAGTCTCTGCTTCTTGAGCCAAAACCTGTTCCAATAAGCGCTGATCATACAGTCGCTCTCTCTCTGAAGCCAAGCGGTTGGCCTCGACACGTTCTTGGTTGAACTTCTTGACGTCCAAAGCTCGCTAAAAAAACAGTTAAAAGTGCAGTTAAAGCGGCAGTTCGAAGCCATTTAAAGCTTGATACGAGCGTACCATGATCTCTTTCTCTCGATTGCGCTGTTCTAGATCTTCTTCCACTCGTTTGAGACGCTCCCACTCACTGAGTTGTTCATCGTCTTCTCTGCGCTTACGCTCGTCCAACTCGGCCTTGCGCTTCTGAACTAGATCGACTTGTAGATCTAAAATACTCTTCATCTCTTCGTTGCGTTTGATAGCCATTTCAATGTCTCTGCGGTCGCGTTCTTCTTTCTTCAGTCGATCTTCTTCCCACAGTTGGGCCATTTTGAGCTCGAACTGACGCTATTTAGCGAAAATACCATTATCACCATGGGATTTATATAGTGATATGATATATATATATGTACACTCACCTCTTGTTCAGTGATCAATTTCCTCTCTTCGAGTTGCTTGTCTCGGTCGTTCAGAACGATCTGTTGAACTTTATTCGAGTCCTCAACACGAATGTCGTCGCACGATTCACTACGAATACAGTCAATAAAGCATTCTCAACCATCTTTTACTTTATTTAAGCTCACTCACCGATATTGTTGCATCCGTTTCTCTTCCACTATAGCGCGTCGCTCTTGCTCTCTTCGCTCTTTCAGAGCCAGCGCTCGCTGGATCATCCTGTAAAAAAAACGTTAGCCCCAGTGTATAAACTAGACTTTTAGTATTTAGCTCGACGTACTTTTGCTTCCTGTCCTCTGGCGTCTCGACGTTGGCTAGACATTCGTCTCTCCACTGCTCCATCTCTCGATTGTAGAGCTCAGCGAGTCTAATGCACATTTCTCGGTTATTAGCTTTAATTTCAATACCTACAGCTGCTTCGGAGACATACCTCAATCTCCTGGAATGCAGCTGCGATTCGTGTTGGTTCTTAAGTTGAACGACTGCTCGTTGCACCTGTTTCTTCTCTCCTTTCTCGTAGAGCGAGTCTTCCCAGTCGGCACGAGCGTTGAGCCTCGAAATGCCCTGGACGGACGTCGTGAAGTTGGCCAAATGGTCTTCTCGCTGTCGTCGCTTGAGGATGAGCGACTCACCGACACCTCGAGGACCAGATCCATTGCGTAGCGTGCTGAAAGGCGTCGCCATGGCGGTGGCAGCAACGTAAGAGGATGCCCTCGAAGGGACGTCCAGTAATAGTGCAAGAGTAGCCATCTTCGAGTTGAAGCCGAAAAAAAAAAGAAAAGTCGAATCACTAGATTGGTTGAAATCAAAACACAAGACAATTGGTTGAAAACATGGCTCGATTGCGTCATCACAGAATGATTGTTTTGTCATATTTCTGTTTTTGAAAAAGTAGTATTTTCTCGTCGTACTATTATTTTCCGATTTTTTTACTGCTACGACGCGCTGATTGGCTGGGATGGCATTCAGACAAAAAAACCCATTAAAATGTTAATGGCTTTTTTTCGTCTGAATGGCATCCCGGCCAATCAGCATGCTTCACGACGAGATTTTGGAACTATGTGTAATACCATCCAAGCCAATATTGTTACGACCCAAAAATTTGACTTTTTTGAGTTGGTTCCGAATAACCCAAATAAACCGTACCGTGGGATGGCATTCAGACGAATAAAACCCATTAAATTTTTAATGGGTTTTTACGGCTGAATGCCATTCCGGCCAATCAGCATGCCGTACCGACAAGTGTTGTTTTGAACGCGCTAAAAAACGCTCATTATCGAATTGACGTAGAAGTTGGCACTCGATCCCCTCGACCATGACAACGCTCAGCGTTAACTACAAGGGGCAAACATACGCTTTGTCCTTTCCAGACGAATCCTCGCCTACAATTGCCGAGCTACAAGCCCAGATCGAGCTCGTGGTGGGCGTTCAAAAGGACGCGCAGCGATTGTTCCAGAAGCGTCGACGTGTCGACTGTAGTGATGAATTGAAGCTACTGCGCGACGTGTGCGACGAAGCTACTCCATTGCTATTGATGGTAGGCGCATCAACGGCACAGATTGAGGGCATGAAGGCGACCCAGACCGCCGTTGAACGGGAAATGAAAATTCGGTGAGTAGTGCGATGATAGCGTGAGTTGACGTGCGAACTGACCCTGACACTGTTACAGGGAGAGTCGACGCGTGGTGGACATTTCAAAGCGAAACCAAGGGATCCAGGCGCGCGACGCCGTATCCACAAACTATCGCTTCCACGCTATTGAGCCGTTGAAGAACTTTGCAGATAAGGACAAAGCCCAGGAGATTCTGGAGAGGTTGGCGAACGATCGAGGCATTTTAGCGGTGATGGCGAAACACAAGTACGTTTTTTTCAACAGTCATTGCATCTATTGGACAATATGGGATGCTGATATTGTGGATGGTAGATGGAGCGTTGGGGTTTTAGCCGAGATGCCACCCGATGGGAAGGTTGGTGTGGACCCCGTGTGCGTGTTGGGGCTGAACCAGAACAAGGGACAGAAGATCTTGCTCCGACTGCGTACTGATGATTTACTCGGCTTTCGCAAGTTTTTGAGGTTGGTCCCGATAGTTGTTGTGTTTTGGCTGTTATCTGAGTGTACTAACTACTAATGTACTAGTATCAAGAAGGTGCTTTTCCACGAGCTTTCCCACAATGTAAGTCTGCTTCATCCTCTGAAGAATACGATAGATCTATCGCTCACATGCATTTCTGTAGGTGCACTCGGAGCACGATAACAAGTTCTACCAGTTAATGCGCCAAGTGGAAAAGGAATGTAATGAGCTGGATTGGACCAACTCTGGTGGTGCCGCTGTCGGTGGTTCTCCTGCCGCTCTTCACGATGATGACTCAACTAGTAGTAACGTTTCAAGTGGACATCGTCTGGGTGGTGGGTCGGCAGGGACAAGTCGACTACTTAACATTGCGCCACCGGCACCTGTTGACCAGGGACGAGGAGAAGTTGTTGTTCAGGAAATGCCTCCGACAGCGCAAAAACCACCCACCGTAACCGAAAAGGAGCCAACTACTGAAGATGTTGAGATGGAAGAAACAGAAGCTGTAAAATCTGAAGCTGCGGTGGTTCCTCAATCATTGGTAAGAAATATCACTGACATTAAAGTAGGAGTGTGGATTTAACTGTACTGTGCTACGTCTGATTTGTTCAGCCTGAAGTACATGAGAGGACCGTCGACGAAGAAGTTGCAACGTTGGCTATGAGTATGTAAAGGGTGTTGTGAGATTTGATTTTTTCCAGTGGTTTCTAACATTTGAGTTGTCAGGCGATCGCGAGAAACGCATCCACGACGCAGTACGTCACTTGCAAACCCATTACAGTGCGGAGGCCATCTCCAAGGCAGTTTCGTTACTGCACAAGATCGTGTCCAATATCATCACACACCCAGCTGATGTCAAGTTTCGCTCCATCCGAAAAACAAATCGGCTTTTTGAAGGCCAGGTTGCAAGATTTCCTGAGTGTCTGGAGTTTCTACTTGCTCTCGGCTTCGAGGACCAATCTGACAAGTTCGTGCTTGTTCGCGAAGACCCGGCACTACTCTGGATCGGTCGCTCCACACTCGAAGTGCTACTGCCGGTGGCAGCATAAATAACCAGAAAAGGTTAACCCTTCTTTTGGATCCGATTTTTTTTTGAACTTCTGAAGAGTTTCCAAAAATATAATCCTGTCTATAATGGTAATTTTATCAATCCTGAAAAGGCGCGAAAAACGAATCTTCAACTTCGCACTAAGTACGAAACCAGATTATTTCGATTGTTTTTCCAGATGCGTGCGACCAGTCAGTCTCAACGTCTCTGCTATCCTAGACTAGTGCTCAATTGGCATGGAGGTGTTACGAGTGTCCTCTCCTTCCAGCAACTCAGTCGGCAACGTGTGGGAGCGTCTGCTACAGACGTTCTCCGTGCCTGCTCCCGTCGCCAACCGCTTCTTGGTACGTCACGTCGCGGCATCTTCATCATCTCTTAACTCTACCGCTAAGTTCTAACTCCATTCGACCTCTATTTCAGCCCAAAATCAAGACTGGACCTCTGTTATTAGAAGTCGGACAGCCTCCCGAATGGAAACCCTTTGAGGTGGTGCTCGCTGGAGCCAACGCCGCCGACTTGGGGCTCTATTACTACCCACACAAGGACGCAGCGACTCCAATGGGTTGTATTCGTCTCCAGAATGCGCATATTGACAGTCTGGAGGAGGTTCTGATGGTCGTAACTAAGGATAAAACGTGGTTCTTATGTGCCGACCACGTGCGTGACGCCAGTGACTGGAGTGACGCTATTTGCAACGCCATCGAACGTATAAGCTCCGATGGAGTGCAAGAACAACGTCGACGTCTTGATAGTGGCGTCTCTACTGTGACTCTATATGAACTACAGTCACGCGATGCAAAAGCCAGAGTGAATGAATTTCTAGAGGTTTTCGTGCGCTCCACAAGGGAAGATTTATGTCTCCAGGCAGCCAAAGGAGCGCTCTCCTGGTCCTGCATGCGCAGTCTAACCTGGAAAGTGTGGCTGGACTACATCCCCTCAGATCTCCCTTTCAGTCAATGGACAAGTATCGCTCGTGAAAAGCGTCAGAGCTATGAATGAGCGTGGCAAGTACAAATTATTCCAAAATCTGCTCGTCGGAAAGCAGAGACCAGAGGAGTTTTTGAGCCAATGTGAGACCTCGACAGACAACCTATTGCACAACATCTACAAGGATGTGCGTCGTACTCGAGGAGAAATGCCGTTTTTCAGGGACCCTATTGTCCAGTGCTTGATGATTCGTGTCCTGTACGTCTACTCCGCCACACACTCGGAGATCTCGTATAATCAAGGCATGGGGGAGCTCTTAGCGACATTAGTGTACCTACTTCACATCGAACAATGGTCATTCGAGGACGATGATATTGAAGAAGTGGTGGCTGGAGAGTACGAGGGAGAAGCTGATGGTCGACTCAGTGGTTCGTATTTTTTTCCTGCTAGTAAGCCTCATGATATTAGCAGAGAAGAAGACTCGAGCTTCGTGTACGTCGAGAGTTTCATTAATATCCAGAATGACGACTCGTTTCTCGACCGGGACATGTTTCTCCGCTTGGCTCCGTTCGCTGGAGGGTCAGGGAAGTACTACGAGTGCTGTCGTGACGCTGCAGGAGAGATTGTACGCGAACTGACGGCGTCCGAGTTCATCGAACACGACGCTTATCTTCTTCTGGAAGAGATGATGTTGCGTATGGCTGGAACTTACTGTCCGCACGTCCCGATTCGTAGGAATTCCAAGCCACAAGCCGACAAACCTCTCAGCTCGGCAGACCAATTACCGGCTTCACCTTTGGATGATCAGATGAATCGCATTCATCACCACATCTTGAGTCGTTGTGATCCTCCGACTGCGCGACATCTCGTTAACCTAGGAGTGGAGCCGCAGATTTTCCTATTGCGTTGGGTGCGCGTCCTGATGGCTCGAGAGTTCGAGACACCGCAGGTTTGGCAGATCTGGGACGCCATCTTCAGCCTCACGCCGAGTGACTTCTCCTTCATCAACCTGCTCTGTGTTGCCGTAGTACGTGAATTCCGCGAAGAGATTCTGGCTGCTGAGGATTCCACCAACGTCCTGCTCAGTTTGCGGGATGTCTCGAACCGGATCGAACCTGCTAGGCTTGTGGATAACGCCCGTGAGTTGTACGACGCGCTGCTGATCGCCGCAGCAGTCGAAGCCTCCATGGGATCAGCCTGAGTGTAAGTTAATCAACACGTTTGACGTTTGTGAACAATGTTTCGCAACACTTCTATTGCTCGTAGCGGCCTGTACCTACTCTATTTCTTCTTGCCTCCTTTCTTCGAGGAGTTTTTCTTGCCCAGTAGATTGCCGTGACGAGCCTTCGAACGTGCTCGTGAGGGGAGTTTTCGGTTGGCTTCAGCCTGCGCAGCTTCGGCCTTAAGATCCACACGCGGCAAGTCCGTACGCACCTCGATCGTCGTCTTCTTCTCCATCATCTTCTTGTGTTCTGACTGGTAATATTAATCCAGGGTCAGCTGTTGAACAATAGAATGTTTCAAGCTCTAAAACACTTACGAAGTTTGTGCGGAAGGTGATCATTCGCTCTAGTTTCTCGCGGTTGTAGAACTTTCCCTTGGTGTCCACCAGGTAGAAGCCACGTCTGTTGGCCAGCTTCAGGATGATGTTGTTCTTGGTGTTGGGGTTCGCCGATACGTACGAGATAGGCACGTCAATCGGATTCGCAAAGTCCTGAATCAAGCACAAACTCGTAAGAAATACTCTCAAGAAAATAAAGTCCAGACAATCTAAAACTCACTCCGAAGAACTTGTGGGTCGTGAAACGCAGCTTGTCACCGCCTGCAACTACCGAAATACGAGCCACCGATCGCTGCAATGCAATAATTATAACAGTATTAGCTTCACATATCAATACTATGCATATATAAAACGAATCCTTACGCTCGCGTGGAAACCAATGAGACCAGCCAGCAGAATACTCATACCGAAGCCCATTGACGAGCCAAAGTCGTCCGAGATGAACGAGAAGAACGTCGGCTCGCCCAGCACCGGGTGCACTGCAACAAATTCCAGTTAGTAACTCTAATCTTTACATTCCACTACTCAACAACCAGCACTTACTCTCCACGAGACTCTGTTCATAACCCTTGAGCCACGACCAGAACGCAATCTAAACACACAAGAAGTCAGCACAACATCCTCAAATAGCCATGACAATTGATATACGTACATGAGCAAGAGAGCCAGCCGACATGTATCCAAAGTAGCTCTGTGCAGCACAAATATGAGCATTAATGTCGTCAAAATCACCCCTTCATCAATCTCGATGACCAAGCCAGCGGCACCTTTTGCGGATATTCGTAGAGAAGGTCGCCACCCTGCTGCTCCGCGTGCTCCGGGTGGTTAGCCAGCACATTGTCCCATAGTTTGGTATTGGTCAGCTCCTCTTCGTCGTCGTTCTTCTTGGCTTTCTGCTCTGGCGGGGCACTACTGGAACTGGCACAGTAATTTCGTGACGATAGTTCTTCTTATACAGAGCTGTTCGGAGAGATAAAAGCACGTACGTGGAGCTGAAGAAGCGCAGAACCTGAGCAGTGTCGTTGCGGGAGCCGCGGGCCAGCAGCGAGAGCTGCACGGAAGGACGACGCAGCACAGTGAGCAACATGATGCGTGTTGTAATTGAGCTGCTCGAAGATGGGCCACAGGTAACTGTCCGGGTGAGTATGAGTCACGTAAATTTCCGCATAGTTAAACAAAGTGTTTTATAAAGGAGTCATGTTATTTCGGACAAAAAGAACGTAAATCTGCACTTTCCTAATCCACGCTCTCGACATGAGGCGACGACCGCGCGAAGTGCCTGTGGCGAAACCTTCCGCCGTGCACAACTACGTGTACAATGAAATACTCTACAATTACTGCGTCATAGGTAATTAAAGTGAAGTCGTTATCCCATACAGACCCAACGTGCTGCTGCGTGCGGAGGAACACGGGAGTCACCGGAGATGGCTGCCAAACGAGCGTAAACCTGGAGCGTCCAAGCACTCGACGCTGAACCAGCAGCAAGACGTCATGAAGATCAAGTAATGCACAACTAGATAAATGCGTCAACTCAATGATATTCTCAATATTACGCTGTCGTTCGTGAGACAGAGTCGACATGAATGAGTACTGCTCCGAGGCAGAAGTGGACAAGCTCAATGCACTGGAAGAAGAGGTGCGACCAGAAAGATAGTAATAAGTAGTTGAAAAATCCAGGCTGGAAGGAAGCAAAACTTATACCAGTTTGTTGACGCTGTGCTTGCTTTCTAGGTTGCGATCTTGGAGAGCGAGGTAAACTTTTCTCTAGAGCTGCAGCACTGGAGTTGACATTGGTATGACTTGCTATTTAGATGGAAAAGTTTGTAGAGGAGTTCTACATGGCAGCGGCCATGTTCTCCACCCAAGCGACTGCACAGAAGACGTACGTGACCATATTGGAGACTTTTGCTGAGATGACCTCACAGACGCCTTACTCCACTTCACAGTCTCATCGAACGCCTGAAAGCAGCTCAAAGTTCGTCCAACATTAAACCAAGCGAGTGAAGTTGTTGTGCAGCCTTCTGCGTTCTTGATTTAATATTAGAGCACACTTGTTCTTTTTCCAGGAAAGGCCAGTCAAATGAAAAAACACAGCACCGCACCGCGCTAATGGAGCTGCAGTGCACTGTGGCATCCTCGTATTTCCTTCCTCTAGGGTCGATTCTACATAGTACATTGGTGCAAGCAGTAGTGTAGTACGCTCATGTCCGTGCGTCCTAGAAAATATCTGGCGGCGGTGGCGGTAGAAAAGACCCCTGACCTCCTCGTGGCTCGTTCTGCTGCACCACATACTGTAGTCTGTAGTTGGTGATGCGTAGCTGCTTGACTTGTGTCTGGAGCTCCTCGATCACGAGCTGTTGCGTCTCGGCCTGGTGCCTAAACGTGTCCACTTCGCCCAATGCGGCTTTGAGTAAGCAATTCTGGTGCTCAGCAGCTTCGAGTCGCGTCTGCATCTCGCGCATCTCCTGCTGCCACAGCTGCAACTGCCGCTCTTGGTCTAACACGCGGCGGTCGTTCTCTTCTTGCAGTCGTCGAATCTCGTGCTGCAGCTGCGCCGTGTGCTCTGCGTGCTGGTTTGCGCTGAAATTAGAGCCGCGCTCTTGCAGCTTGAGCGAATTGAGCCGCTCTATAGTCGCGTCGAAGTCCATGCCACACAGCTCTCGAATTTAGCGTCCCTTGCTAGTCGCTTCTTTACTTCTGTATGGCGCACCACCTCAAGGTCAAGTCTGACTAGAGTTGACTTTCGTACTTAGTCGTTGCGTTATTCGTGTACACCACGTAATATCGTTTCTCCAGACCAATTTTTGTGAATTTGTGACGACAATTCAAGCATTTGAAGATGACGGGCGCATTACGCGCAGGCGACTTAGATCGTTCATGTATCGCTGGGATTCCCATTGGATTAATATCGTACAGTTGTGTCTGTTTGTCTAACTAGCTAGTGTACACGTGTGTTGTGAGTATGGGGTCAGATGTCGTCGTAACACCGGGGTTGGGCGACTGTGAGTGCTGTGGGGAACGTTTCGGGTCGGAGCAGACCGATCTGGACGACCTCGTCGTCGTCCTCCGAAGACGAAATTGTGATGCACGTGTCGTCGCTGTCCACGCTGGAGCGGTGGAGGTGCTTGACACGCTGCAACTCGCTGTGCAGCTGCTTCTTCGTGTACACCACCAGCCACCACATGCCTAGCACAGTGAACACAGTGCCTCCCACGCCGATCACCATGCGTTGACGGAACGACGTCTCGCTCAGCTCCACTGCATTCTCATCGCTGCTGCCACTAGACACCAGGTTTTTGCTGTTGTATCCGAGATACGCCCACAAAATAGCGTAGGGTAGTCCACCAACCGCCGACGACACGGCAAACCTGTACGTCGAGATGTCTGCGATCGCTAATCCGTAGCACTTGACAAGGTGGGGCACATTGGCCACCTGAATCAGCAGTAGCGGCTTCCAACTGGAGTTCTGTAGCACCGTTGCCAATGCCGCGAATGAGGGGAATTTGATCTGCATGTAGCCGCTGATTCGGTCCTTGCCGAAGTGCTTGGCTGCCAGGAATGCTATCATCTGGCCGATGGTCTTGCCAACAACACAGAGCAGCGTGCCGGTCACGATGCCAAACATGGAGCCCGCGAGGATCTCAAAGCCCGGTGACGGGATGCAGAGTGGGATGCCTACAGCCAGAATGAGAGGAAGCAGCATGGCCCCCATAGTCGGGTTGGCCTGGATCCAGGACATAGTGCTGGCGATGTAAAGCTTCACGGGTACCAGAGCCAGGATCACGTAGGTTACCCCGCAGAAGAGCGTCGTCCACGCCGCTACCTTGAGCCATCGCTTCCCTGCGTCCGACATCCGTGTCGAGCAGCACCCCATGACCATGACTGTGATTGGGGGTACTGCACCGGTTGGTTGATTAAAAATGGGAATAAGGCCCTGGTTTCAGACGGAGCCGGCCAGGATAAGACGTTGAACAGGTCCTGCGCAGCGCGAGAGCTATAGCTGGACCACAGGTAGTGATGGCTGGGTCAGCGGTTCCGAAGTGGTGTATTGGTCGAATGGCTTGCTGGACCTCAACTGTAGAATGTCGGTGTGACATGCTAATTTTAGTTTGGTCTCTTGCACGCAGCTGTAGAGTGTGAGTGAAAGACCACGCAGCGTAGCGGATACTTACAATTATTATATTTTGCCTCTTTAGTGAATAATGTATGTCGATAGTAAGATTCATATTGATGTCTGTGATAATTATTAGATACGATTACCTGGTGGTCTTATAAAATTAGATATTACAGTTGAATTCTGATTACTCGCGGTCTCAAAATGGAGATTACGCCGTTGCGCCTTGCCAAAGCAAGTCCCGAAAGGCGATGGTGTGTGTGAGTTTTCAGCATGAATGCTGTAAGCTTCCTGCTTCAACATCATTTGTCTTTAGGCACTCACTATTGTATCGGATTGACCTCTTGTTGAACAAGTTGTTCTCCTCATGGGTCGCGGAAATCCAGGGATCGGCAATATTGCACCGGCGGACCTCAAACGGTACAATATCAGCAGCAACAGCGAGCTCCCAAGAAGAAGATCCAGGAGAGCAAGCATCATCCAGACGAACGCTAAGATTATCCTAACGAGAAACGAACTGCCACCATTTCGAGGTATCGTTTTCCGACGAAGTCCCTGGTGGAAAATCTCCACAAAGACGAATCGTCAGGTGATCTGGCTCAGGTCATCGATGCAGCGTGGTTTTCACGATGGGGCAATTTGAGGATCCAGAATGCTATTGACGCTGCTATAATAAATCTCACTCCATCCTCGTTCCACAAAAATGTGCTCGTTGTGGAAGAAAATATTCTTGAGAGCGTTCTTTCAGTAGCGCGGCAGCTTTTTTTAAACTTAAGAGAGAGAGATTTCTTATTATAACTTCCTGTCGTAGTAGATGCATTACAAACACTCATGACTTGCTTACGCCGCTTGTGCAGCATTGCAAGGTTGCACCTGTCGCTGATACAGCAAGCACATCCGTCTCGGTGGACATGATTTTCGTAATGAAGTGCTAGCAAGTACAAATAAACACTACGGATGGATATCCAGCGCGGACCATGTCCACTGGCATGCATTTTAGTCGAACTTGAGCCTGTGACAGCTTGGGCCGCAAATCCATTTATCGGTGATCGTAGGGGCACACCTGAAATGGGTTCGGCCGTGAGTGACTCAGCTGCACCGGTTGAAGTCGATGTAGGCTGGAAGCGATCGCTACACCTGTACAGTATACATGCATTCTCTTACCGAGCTACGACTTTGCTTTGATAGCTTCGTCTTATTGCAAAGAATAGGGTGGTAGGAAGAGGACAAACCCTTGGTCAGACACTCGCCGCGATCGTCCTATCGATGTGAACAGTGTTACCACTGAAAACTTTACGGTGAAAGACACGGGAGGCAACGATTACGACAAGTCTGGGCGTTTGTGTAGCGTCGCGATTTGCAAAATGGACGTAAGCATTGCCCGTTGCTCGTAATACATGTTACACATGACACCTGGACGGTAGAGTCTATACTGACGACTCCAGAGACCAACAAGCCCTGAAACAGTACCTGCATTAATAATGAGCGGCTACATTTTAAATGGCCGCTACTTAATTTGAAGCCCAGACCTGGAGCGTGGGTGTCGACGGACGCATGCTCTGGGTCGTACTCTTAGCGCTCTTGACGCTGCTTGGAGTCGTGGCGTCTATCTCGATGGAGAGCAGCAGTCCTTCTTCGCTGCTACTGCGGCATTCGCGCTTCTGTAGTTCCTGAAGCTGCCGCTTGGTATACACAACGAGGAACGTGATGGCCAACACAGTGAGCGAGAGTCCCGTGACGACCATCACCATTCGACTCGTCGTTATCTTGGTCTCGCCCGAGAGAATAGCAGCAATATCGGTCGCTTGCTCGCCAATATACGCCCAGAGTACGGCGTGTGGCAAGTTCCCCACCGCCGATGACACTACGAAGCGTGCCACCGACACGTGAGTGATAGCGAGACTGTAGATCTTGACAAGGTTCGGGATACTGGACAGCTGATAGAGCAGTACAGGCTTCCAACTCGGACTATTCAGCACCTCTGAGAACGCACGGAAGGTCGGGAACTTGGTACGCAGGTAGCCGCCGATCACCTCCTTGCCCATGGAGCGTCCCAGCAGAAATGCGAGCGTAGATCCGCCCGTTTTGCCCACAGTGATCACTACGACGGCATGCGGGACGCCAAACAGCGACCCGGCCACCATTTCTAGCGCTGTGGCTGGTAAACAGAGCGGGATGGCGACCCAGAAGGCCAGAATGACGCCCAAAGTGCCTAGAACGAGATGATCTTCCACCCACGCACTTGTCGTCTCCATATATTCCCGTACAGGCAGCGTGGACAGCAGCGAAACAGCCGTAGTCAATACCAAGGCAAAGGCGACGAGACGAAGCCACAACTGCCGCTTACTACGCCTCCCATCGTCTCCTCTACCCATACTGGAATGGGTCCAGCGGTCTGCTGCGTCCACGGCGCTGTAATTGGCCACCGAAGGGGACATAACGAGGTGTTAAAAACGGTATGGAAGTCAAGAAATTGAGTCTGATTCCTAAGAAAATATAGACTGATTCCTTTCTGAACTTTGCGTCACATAATGCTGCAAAATGTACCATATTATGGGTTCATGGCTACAGTGGTATTTTTTACGACCGTTAATGTTAAGGGCGTTTTCCAGAGTTAGGAAATCTATATCGTCGACTTAACCCCAGTGAGCTATTTTGGTAGGATAAATGGAAGGATCAATTTCTGATGGCCTCTCTTGGAGCAACCAGAGCAACAATTGAAAAATCTTTAGGCTCACCAAGACGTCAAGACTTCGTTTAGCAAGGTTTGAGGACCTCAGCCCAAGCGCATACGCATTGATGTTGCAAAGACAAACTGAAGCGTGACGATTGCTCTTTGCTAAAATTAGAGTTTTATCCTAGCTCCTAGGATAAAATATTCCACCATTATTGCTTATGCGGCGGACTCAGTAGACAATCTTGCCGATCGCCGCAGTGCCTTTGAATTGTGTCGGGTGACTCGTCGCTCAAACTGTTCAACTGATGCTTGTGATCTTTTACGCAATGGGGGTGGAGCACGAATTTGCCTGGGCTTTGTTGCTGCTTGCTGACATGCATCGGGCAGCGTGGCCGATGAATGAAATTTGTCAAAGCAAGATTCATCGTTCTTCCAGCGTGACGTGTGACATAGAGCAACCTTGCATAAGGAGCATTCGTATCTAGTCTTGTATCCTAGCCGATGGTGGGTAGTGTTTTCTTCACCATGATCTCGTTCACAACACAGCACACATCGAAGTTGTTTTCCGGAAAGCAGCAACCTCTGAAGAAATGTTAGTGTCAATTTTCTAGCTCCACAACCACACAATGAATGAACTGATCATACCTCATTGTGAAGCTCTCGGCTGGAGTTTCGAAGCTTCCGCCATTCGGGGTCATCGTCAAAATGATCACGTACCCGGTACGCAAACGAATGCGGCTTCAAAAGAATGCTTCCCAGCTCATTCGCGCTCAAGACATTTGTATCAACCTCAGAAAGCGGCCGCCTTGGCTCATCGATACTGTCGTCGTCATTAGCGTTTCCTCCCAAACAGCTTGCGGCATCTCGGCAGAAATCTCGAAATGATGCATTTTCATTTTTATGCTGTTGGTAGATGCTGTAGGACTTGCACCTATCTTCGTCCATTAAGAACGCGGTTCCCTGGGTTAAGCAAAGCATACGCAGAAATGAGTACACTTACAGCGTATTGATCACATGTACAACGTACGCTGAGTAACTGGGCTGACTGGAACGCGTTGTAAACTAATGTCATCAAAAACCGCAGCCAAAGAGCAGCGAGGGGTGGTAAATGCTCGTGCGATGGCTTTATATTCTTCAGGTACCGGGAATACACGTCGATTCCTCCTTTGACTCGATTCCAGATCGCTATCACGCTGGGGATTATGTGTTTTGCTGCAGGTAGTGGGCCTCCACGTTCTTCGGTTTTAGCCACTACTATTCGCCATAACGAGATATGCTGCTTCAGCGTTGATACGTCTCCACAATGTCCTAATTCGTCGGCTGTAAATGGTGGTACGGGAGCATCGGGTGTGTAGATCCAGTCCATGCATGCTTCTTTGATCTTCAAGAAAGCAAGTCGATAAGAATCCACAATATCGTCACCAATTACGACGTGAACGACACGAATTATTGCTGTTGACGACGCATGCACAATGAATCCATCTCTTATAGACCCAGAAATGATGTTGTGTAGCAGCTGAGATCGGTGCCCTTGGTCGGGAATCAACGTCTTCAAGTACCGACTATCAGAATGGGAATCCAGCTTTACACTTGCGAATTTACCGCATCGCACTGCAATATTTCGCTCTGTGTCGACCGTATTGCCTCTAGTCTTCGTTTTATACTCCAGAACAGCAAAAAATGAATCATTACTAGAGAGCCGAGTTACCAATGCGATATCATCCGGAGAAAATGCCAAATAGCGCTCCTCGGGGCTGTATCATGCGTCATTTTCACAAATCAATAATGGTACGTAGCTGTGGCAGTCGTTCAAACGTACCAACAAAGCAGACCATAAGACTTCGTCTGAAGAATACGAAAGTCTGAGTGTGCTTCAATAAATCTTGGTACGCGTGAGCAAATGTTTTCCTCGTTCTTAGATCCAACTTTCATGTCCGTAGACGATATTGGAGCTAAGAACCAAGCGCTAAGTAGTGCCGCAGCGGGAGATTTAATCGTGTTCTTTGTCGAATTTGTGTCACTTTCCCCGTTTAAAAGACGGCTGATGAGCTCACGTTTGTTTCCTGACACTGTAAGTCCTTGATCACGACACATTTGTTGCAACTCCTTGTTTTTCATTTTGCCGAGAGCCGACTCTGATGGAATTTCACTACCAGCTGAAGATCGGGATTCACCAGAGATTGAATCGGTCAGAATACCTAATATTCTCTGCACTAGTTGAACGGAAGTGTGCTGTGCCAAGTTGTGATAAACACTGCACCGACTCTCGGAGGTTTGTTCTAGCTCGTCAGGACTCTCAGAAGCCTTAGCAATTGCGCGGAGAATTTGAACTGCAACAAGCCCAGTAATGCGAAATTGGCGCATGAGAAACCAGTCGGGAGTTCTCTGACATTCCGTCAGAATAAGCACACGTCTTTCAAAACTTGCAAATTCGTTTCCATGCATGTCAGGATGAGCTTGTTGTGGTCTAGGCAACGGAATATACGACCATTTTCCAGGGCCAGCCGATTTAAGTGAAGTGTTGCATAGTACAACACTACCAAGTCCAGAACGATAAGCCAAAGCGCACATCGTAGACGTAATCTTTGTAGAACTGACAGAGTTCTTCATGGTAGCCCATTTTGTAGTTTTGGCACCTTTCTCCGTCATCACTGTCTGCCCCTGAGTACCAAGTTTTCCGTATGTGAACGGAAAGCTGCGATCACGTTTATGAGTCCCGATAACTATGCCGCCACACTCCATAATTTGGCGGTTTACTTCCTTAGATTGATATCCACGGTCCAAAGCAAAGACAACCCCCGGGAGTTTAATTTGGCTATCCGCGGATACACCACAGAGCGAGCGCATCAGAATTCGCAGCACGTCAACCACGGTCTCGCCTCTTGACGCAACATGACTACACAAGAATAATCCGGTGACCAGCGACACGATGCCGTGTTGTACAGGACCGAATCTAGGCAAATGATCGTGTTAGTGTGTACTATCAGAATATATAGTAACATGTGCTTTCCATGCTTACCCTTTTGCTGGATTTCGAGTTCTCGTCAGCCCGAGATCATCAACCGATTTTGAGCGAAGTCTCAACAAATCATCATCCAGACTGGCAATCGAAACTTCGTTAACAAATCCAATTTCGGGGCACACTCGACGCATTGCATCCATTGCTTGAGATAAGTGGCGGTCCGGTGAAAATGGGGCATTCCAAAAGTCTGAAGTATTATAAATTGCCGCACTTGGGGTCCCAAGTGCATTCAGCAACGTGTAATATCGCTTACGTTTCATTGCTTTGTTTGCAGGAGGATAGTACTTCTTGTTTTCTTTAGCATAGAACTTTGTCGGCGAAATACTGTAGAAGCACAACCACAGCTCCACTTCAAGCAACTTTTTGACTTCATTCACCGTTGCAAACTCGTTGGCATCCAGATTTGCATTGATATGCTGCTTTGTCAACATCAGCACGGTCGGATCTAGCCACAATTGTATGATGTCCTCCACAGGAAGTTCAGGTTGGAGAGGACGCGAATGTTTGCCGTACATACGCGTCATCAGACGCTCAGTCACCCGGGGGACCTCTAGTCTTGCCTTTGCAAGAAGGTATTGCTCCACATCATCAATCCCGAGCTCTACTAACGTCTCGTCGACGAATTTCCACTTCGAGAGGGTCGAACTATCAAGCTCGTCGTCATCTCCACGCTCTGATAGCAATTCTTCAGTATCAGAGTCGGCCATGCTAGTTGGAGCAATCCGCGCGGAATCGCTCGAGTTGAAGTGGGCGATGAAGAGTGAATGTACAAAATTTTATCCTATCACAAAAGGAGCCATAGGATAAAATCATGCAGCCTATTTTTGGCTCAGAAATGTTTGATCCTTCCTCTTAGGATAAATTTCACTGGGGTTAAGCAGTCGCAGCGACGATATGCTACACTAAGCTCTCTGCGCTTCCTTTTCTCTAATTGTACATACACAACGCGGTTATCATGGCGAAGAAGAAAGATGAAGAAGAAGAATTACGAGAAGAAGCGCTAGCAGAGTGGGTCTCTCGAGGTCGAGCCGCGCAGGACTTCACTATGGAGAAAATGATCAGTACGTAGCATATCTCACCATTTTTTTTTTCAAACGCATCATCTAAATCATATTATATTGTTTAGAGCTCTGGGATGAAGAAGACGACGGAGAAGATGGCGACGACTTGGAGGATAAACAAGAACTCATGAAAGGCTACCAGATGCTCGGGCCACTAGTAGATCAAGCCAAAGATACAGCTAGACAGTTCAAGAACACAGCGATAGTAGAGGGCAAGAAGGCGCTGGAAATAGCCAAGAAATACGCAGAGCTTCCTCCTTTAAGAGATCGTCGACTACTGCGTCAACATGTTGTTCATGTGCTCGACATGGATACAGAAACACACAAATATTCATTAATTCGCCAGCGTGTAGTGAAGCAGTTTAACGATACCAAACAGACGGAAGAAGAGCTGCATTTTGGTCTCAAGAAGCGGAATAAACGTCAAGCTCCTCTTCTAAATCGCTTCCAGGAGTTAAAAGCCGAAGCCGATAGAGTGCAGCAAGCGCAGCGTATGGAGGAGATCGAGCAAAGCCGACGAGAACGGATTGATAAGATCATGCAGGAAAAACAACGACAACTCGAAGAAAAAGAAGAAAAAGCCGAAAAATTATTGGTACAGAAGCGACAACGGAATCTAAAATTCTGGCAGAAACAGCTCGAAGAAGCGCGCGAATATGCTGAAAAACAGACGTACGAACGAGAAAGGAACGAGGAAATTGAGAGAAAAGGGGAGCAGATGAAGGAAGAAATGCGTATGGTCGAAGAAGAAGAAAGCATCGATGCTATGCGAGCCTTTGAGCGACTACAGACGACGTCGTCTATTGGAATCTTTGATACAGCGTTAGAACCGGGAGAATGGAACCCTGCGTCAAATGGAGGACATCGAACAGGACTCGGTACGTTTAATTGCTTTTAGGAGTGTTTTAACGTGCTAATATTTGTTTTTCTAGATGAACATACTGTTGGAATATCGACTACACGGGGTTTTAGTATCGAGAATGGACAGAGACGAGTCGAACTCATGGAAATTCAGTCGAAAGTGACGATGTTACGTGAAAAATTGGAGCAAGTGGAGCAAGCGAAGACGAATCTCGGTCTAGATATGAGGACGATTCTGGAGAGAAAAGACCGTATTTTACAGGAGATTAAACAAGTAAGAGCAGAGCAGGATGATCTGAATGAAGAACTGGCAGGCCCACCACGACGAGATCCTTCCGAGCACGAGAAGCAGCACTTCCACACTCTAGTGACACGTAGAGCTGTCTACATGAAACAGCTTGGGGATTTAGATTCGCGTATCGTGCATATCCAAAAGCGAACGGAAATTGTTCATCGCTCAGAGGCGTCATTTATTCCAATGTTACGAGACGCAGAGGAAGAAGTGGCAACTATCCAATCTCAAGTCGATAGTACTGAGAACGAAAGACACGATCTTCCAGTGGTGATTGGTAAAGCGATTTTCCAGTCTGAAATCGTTCAGAATCGTCTTGAAAATGATGTCGAAGGCACTGTATTTAAGCCTGTTGTGAACCCAACAAAATTGTTGAATCAAGTCACGATGGAGAGCAAGTTTGAGATCTTAAAGAGCGCGGTTGAGCCTGTTAACGATCACTACAAAAAGGCAAAGACTCAAGCTGTTGAAGCCTGGAAAGCGAACGAGTATCGAGCCTTGGCGGAACAAGATCTAGACAGTGCGAAAGCTCGACTCGTCAAGATAAGAGACCGCTTTGTGGACCTCCAAAACTCGGCACTTCGCAGCGATATCGTTCATGCAATCCAGAAGTTTCATGTAAGTATACTACACTAACAAAAGTGGAGTGATATTTTTACTGATATTACGTGATGTGTTTAGCAACATGGCAATAAATTACGGCAGTGTATATTCCCGTTAAAAGGTTCAATCGAGTGGTGGAGTCATCATATACCGAAGAAGTCGATGGGATTAACGTACTCCGTCGAGCAGAACACCATAACTTTAGCTGAAGGAGAGATAACAGGCAAGATCACTGGATGCGTGCATCTTCCGAAGCGCTGCTTCTACAGAATCCAAATGAGCGTCGGTATTCAGAGAATACATGGAGAACTTGGAGATTCTCAAGAAGGTTTAAAGGATTCAGGCAAGCTGACCGAGGACTGGAAATTGTATATTGGTCCTGAAATGGATTCCTTACAGCATCACACTTTTCGAGACCTCGGCGGCAAAGTACGTACCAAATCGTAATTATTTCTGCTTAAACTTACCAATTGACGTTTGAAATCGTAGATTTTACGTACAGGAGACCTTACATTCGACTTTTCAGGGATTCGTCTTTGCTTCAGCTTGGAGATCACCCATAAGAATATAACGGACTCGAAGCGTAAAACACTTCGCTATGTCATAAGCAACGCAGCACGATATGAAGAACGATTAGAGGATTTTCGAGACGAAGAGAACCGTATTCGTCTTCACCAGAAAGAAAAACATTTTGTGTCGGAATTAGTCAAGACGATGCGTATGCAATCCAAGAAAACCAGCCGTCAACGAACAACTGAACTACTGGAAGAATTAATTCGAGTGGAGAAAAGTAAAGGTAAAATGTGGGACTCCACTTTGTTTCACGGCCATTCCCAGCGGTTCAAGCGTGCCGAGTACGTGAACATGTTGCGAAATGAGATCAAGAAAGAGGTACGCCTTATTGTTATTTTAGGGTATACTTTACACCGTAACGTTAGGATGTCACCCGTATTTTACATAGATAGCAGTTCAAATCGACTACAGCATAGCCATCCGCCAAGGACGCGTTAGCGAAAGTGAAATCCTTGCAGCCGGCACTCCGATCGTTGATTCCTCTCAAAAAGGACGGAGAAAAGAAGAATCTAGGTGGGATTTAGTACCTCTTCACTATCGCTATCAAACACTTTATTTTAACGTATTTTTACATAACTCAGGATGGATTTCCAAGCTCGAAAATCTGCGCTAATGGAGCCGAAGAGGTTAGCAGTGCAGAAATTCCTTGGCGATTACTGCAGCTTTAAATCTCAAGTCGCAACCAAAACAAACTCCAAATCATACCGTAAAGAAGCTATGATTGTGGGAGTGAGATACGAATGGCATGAGGCACGGACGAAGCTCCACGTGATGCACAAGGTGCGGTAAAACATTATATTTTTAATCTTGATACAGTTTCCTCAAAGCATATCGAAATATTTCAGCTCTGCGGTCCTTCTGGTACGACCAATACGGTGAAGAGTGAATGGTATCAGCTCGACAATGCGAACGCCGTCTTTTTAGCGAGTGCTTTCGTTCGAACGCTTCGTCGAAAGCGGAAAGAAGAGGCCGAAGCTCGTCTTCTTTTAGTCGCGAAAGATACAAAAATCGAGCAATTGCAACAGGAGACGCAGAAAAACATAGAAGAAGAAAACGAAGCTGTGGTTCGAGAGGCCATAGAGGACGAACTGTTGGCTCAGCAACTGCAAAACGAGCTGGCACGAAGAGAAAAGCTATTTTACGCTGACGCTATTCGACTGACGACATATAACGAGACTGTTTCGTCTCAAATCGACTTCCAAGTGCAGCGTAAACTAAACGTTCTTACTCAAGAATCCGATACAGTTGAGATCCAACCGATCGTACAAGAAGTTAAGGAGAATTTTGCCAAACAGTTTGTACAAGGAAAGTTAGCTTTGGTCAAGAAAACGTGGGAAAGAAAAACCAAACGAGTCACTAATAAGCGCATCAAAGCAAGAAAAGAACGGGAGTTTAGGATTCGACACGAAGAAGAGCTTATGAAGGAGATTAACGAGTCCAATGAGCTTGAGTTGACTGCACTGAAGAATGATCAGGAGAAACGAGCGAGAGAGGAATTACTCCGTATCCCGAACTTTCAAGCTGCTGTTGAGCAGAGTTTTCAGTGTGAACATCTTGAGTTGAAAGCCTGGGGAACCAAATATGACTTTGGGTTGAAGTGTAAAAATTGTGGGAAAGAAATGTCAACTTCTTGTGACGATCCTGACCACGTGCGAGGAGGAGATCCAGTTCTGGATGAAGATGTTTTAAAACATCGAGCACAGACCACAAGCGGTGTGTCATTTCGATTTAAAGACACAAGTCATCTTCGCAAAGTTGAGAATGAACGTCTTCGACTTGAGAAGGAAGCGCGAGCTATGGAGAAATTGGAGTCCGTACTTTATGACCGAGTGGACCCGAAATCTATTGACGACTTTAATTACCGACACGGTATTAATCGCGGGGCTCTACTGGATAATGTTGACAGCTCAGATCCATTGTATCCTCGATTAATCCAGGATATCCATCGAGCCTCGCACCAAGATGAAATTCTGTTCCATGGACGACTTCGAAATTTCAACTTTCGCATTCAGCAGATATTCCGTCAACACGCTGAGTGTACAAGCCGGTTGGCGATGCAGGTGTGTAAACCTTATGTCTTCAGCTACAGAAGTTGCGCTAATTCTTTTTATTTCTTAGCAAGATTTCTTGGAGAATGCACAGCACGAAAATGAAATTGTTCTAAAGAAATTGCCATTAATTGAGGCTGATCATGCTCGTGCCGAGGCTTTAATTGAGGAAGACAACGCGGCAGTAAAACGTTTTGAAGATGCAAAAATACGACTTACAGCGGCTCAAAAAGAACGAGAGGTATGTCTGCAATATTTTCGTAAACGGAAAAAGACTCATTTTTCTGTATTTTCAGGCTGCATACTACGCAAACGAAGGTGTCGAGGAAGAAGCTGAATTTTCTGAGTCTCATGCTCCAGCTCTAATCAAAAGCAGTGACGAAATGAATGCTGCATTTCAACGTATTCAAAGCGAATTCAAGTTTGTTACGGAACAATTGAAACCAGCAAAAACACGACTGGAAAAGGCTGAAATACAGCGGGCCAAGGTCGATAACTTGATGAACCGATTGTACTGTCGGACGCAGAACTCTATTTTACGGACAAGATACGGCTTCGTTAGAGTGGAGTACTATAGAACCGAAGACAGGTGCGTCGTAATAACACCGCTGCATTGGGAAGCCACGATATTCGTCTCTATCGATGAAATATTAGCCTACGAGGCCATCTACAGAGAAGAAGAAACGTTTGCCATGGCAGGAGAAGACGAATATTCACGCGAGTTTTTACAGTTGGAGCACAGTATGGAGACATCAGAACGTAAAAAGATGGAGGTCGAAGATAAAATAATCCGTGGAATTACGGTGTGGCGAGAGAAGAAAGAAAACGAAGAAGAATTACTAGCAAAGGTGATCTGCCACGATGAATTAGAGTCCCAATTAGAGTACGAGTTGCACGGACGGAAGAAAACTCTCGAATCAGCTCGAAAAGAAGCTGTAATTCTTCACAAACGTGGTCGATTTTACCCTTCTCGAGTTCGTAAACCGCTCTCCCAACGTCCAAGTCGTCTGGACGCCAAGCGCGTTACTCGAGCCAGTGAAAAGCGTTTAGCGATGGCTATGATCGAACAGAATTTACTCGCTAAAGAACGAAAATTACGGGATCAGAGCATGCAAGAACGCAACTCTATCAGTGTGGAATCTCTAACTCAAGAAGTGTTCGGTGACATTCTAGCAGATACGATAAAGGATTTTAGCAAGGAGCATATTCAGCAAAGAAAACACGAAGCTTCTGAGCTGCTACGCTCTAAGGGAAGCGCTATCATAGCAACCGACCCATACACTACTCTAAGTGGATCAGTTACGGAACTCTTAGGATTTGATCGTCTGTGGGCTGCGAGGAAACAGAAGTATTCGCTATTATATTCCACGTGGAGAAAAGAGTACGCTAAACTCCAGTTAGTTCGACAAGAAATGGTGCGACGTGAAGAGCTTCGTCTTCTAGCAGAACAAGAGCGACTACGACTGGAGACTCGACGCAAGGAAATGTTAGCGGAAGAGCGTCGGTGTCGAAAGTTTTATGTGGAAGAAATAGTACTGTATATGCAGGAGAGGAAGGCGATGGCGAATGCAGAGATGGAGATGAAGGAATATCTTCGACAAGTGGAGCTCGAAGCCATGAAGACGAAATACTCTAAAATGGTAGAAGACCGTAACCGATTCAACGATAAAGCAGCTCGTAGACGGGAGATTAAACTCGGCAAGAACGAGCAACATCGACTACACCGCGAGTGGAGACAGATCAAAGTTGAGGACGAATTAGCCATGCAAATCCGGGAAAATGAACGATCTCAAGCGCTAGCTGAAGCTTTAGAGCGACAATTTGACAAATATCTGGCGGATCAGATGGCTCAAGGTAAAATCTCGGCTGAAATGGAGGCCAGTCGACTAGCCGATCGACTGCGTGAAGCTCAACAAGTAGCAGCGGAGAAACAGCGAAATTTCAAGATGAAAATGACGCAAGAACGGATGATCGCTAGTGTCGAGACGTTTTACGCAGTTTCACGTGCTGAAGTTGAGTGGATGGATGCGGTAGAGCGAGCTAAATTCTGGAAGCAAAGAGCAATTCTTTTAGAAGAGAATCTATCGAAAATGGAGCCTGAACTCAAGCGAATTAACGAGGAAAGACAACATGTTGTGAATGATGCAAAAGCGAAACGGGAATACGCGGATAAGTGTAAAAAACGGATTGAAGACGCGGATTCTTCTCTTTCCAAGGCGATTCAAGAGAAAGAAAACGCCAAGATAAAATATGAACGCGTACACAAGCTGAATGCTACTATCGACTCTGAAGTACTACACGATCGGGTGCAACGTTTTCGTACCAAGTATTTACGAGATCGACTTCATACTCTATATTTCTCTATGCTGACGGATTCTATTATCCGCCGAGCGTTGGTGGAGTGCAGTGAGCGTGAAATTGTTCGACTCGAGACGCGAATTAAACAATTAGAACAAGAGCGTATCGTGAAGAGTAAAGAGGTGAGTGTACTGCAGAGAAAGCGACGACGAGGGTTGCGTATGCGTCTTCGACGAGCCGAATTAGGCAAGTTAATGTTTGGACACTCTCAACGTCAACTACTGAAGGAAATGTTCCAACGGTGGACTAAAATTTGGTCCGAGCGGTCAAGAGTTCGCGCCTCGTTCAAGCTCAAGCACGAAAGTTTACTGCAAAAGCAGAAACTTACAACCACGACAAATTATCCGGTTTTGAAGAAACAAAGTCTTGTTCGTGAAGTTAACGTGAATTTTTCGACAAAAATCTCGATAATGCACGACCATCAGCAACGGAATTTACAATGCCGCCTGTGTCGTCAGAAGTACTCGGAGGAACAAAACAATCGCTACTCGTGTGTCTACCACCCCGGGACGTACGAGTTTGCCTGTGTTCGCTCTTGTGAGACCCGACAAAGTGGTTCTTCTGCGGTTCCAGCGTCTTGTATGATGCACCGAGCCAAGCGTTGGTTGTGCTGCGATGAGACAGAGGAAGGAAGGTACGGGAGTTCAGGATGTGCCAGACGCTTCCACTTACCAGAACGCAACAATCCTGAGCTTGAGAATCTTGTGGAGAAGAAGACAAGTCAAGAACAAACCATCCTGGATCAAATTAATCAACAATTATTGGAATTACGAGAACGAAACGTAGTGGGCAAGATGAAGTTCGCTACCAAGTCAGTCGTCTGCAAGATGGAAAAAGATCTCGCTAAACAACGAGCCACCGCTGCCAAGTTCCACAAACTTCGCTAGTTCAAAGCCTGCAAAATATTGTGAGCAATTGGTGAATTTTCAACTAGAACCTTTACTTACCTCATGGAATAATTTCTGGAAATATTCAGTGGAAACACCGCAGTCTTCAGCCAGCCGCTCGAAGGGACTCGAAATGTCAGGTTCTGGTTTAAAATGTTGCGCGAAGCGGTGGAAATACGAGTTTTTCTCCTGAATTGTCGAGATTGGAGCTACAGATTCCACGCCTGTCACCTCAGGTGGAAGCGTAACCATGTCAGGGTATCGATACGAGTACTCCACTGCTAGATTGACGATCGTCCGAGTATCTTCCAGGCCAAGTGCTCGCTTAAGACCCAAATTTTGCCAAATTTTGGGGAAATTCCTGAATGCAGCACTGTTGGCGTATCCACTAATAAACGGGTGAGTTAAAGCTTCTTCGGAGGTTAAACGAAGCTCAGAGTCCCGGTTTAACATGCGCTTGATGAAGTCTCGACAAACTGGAGAGAACCGATTGGGCATTGGAGGCAATGAATCGTGACAAATCGCCTCTTCCAGACCGAAAAATCCGTCGTCGACAGTGAACGGGTAGCCTCCAGTCGCAAGGGCGAACAAGGTGATACCGAAAGACCAGATATCGCTGACACAGGTGTAATGTGCTCCCGATATACGCTCAGGCGCCATGTACATCATCGTTCCCGTAAAATCTGAAAAGAACGAGTTGGATTTAGCCAGTGTGCCAGCTAAACCAAAGTCAGCGACCTAAATCGCAGCAGATTTGTCAGAACTGAAGCTACAAAGCATCAGATTATCAAAGTTTGTACCTTGAATTCCCCGTTTCGATTCATCAGGATGTTAGCAGGTTTGATATCTCGATGAACCGTTCTGAAACAAAAAAAAACGAATTTAGAACTCTTCTAATTCTTAATGTTAGCGTACCAACCTTTGACTGTGCATATGATCGAGCGCTGTGATGCAGCAGAATGCAGCATGTCGTAGGATATCTTCAGATACGGTGATATTAGCGTCCATGAGGTCCTGTACGCTGCCCATATCCATGAATTCCATGACGACCGAGACGGCACATTTTGCTGGTTTCAGAAATGCCCCGTAAAAAGTGACTAGATACGGACACATAGCATTGCGAGGACGCAGACCAGCAAGAAAATGACTCTTCAATGTGTCGGTACTGCCAGTATTTGGGACATTTAAGTCGATTGCTGCGAGGTTTTCATGCAGTGTGTGGAGTTCACGCTTGACCATGTGGCGGTCTTCTTCCTGGTACACAACCACTTCCTTCACAGCGACCAACTTCAACGTTGGTAAGTAGAGCGAAAGAAACACAGTGCCACCTGCTCCTTTGCCAAGTTTCTTGACGCGTTTAGTACGCTTACCCAGTTCTTCGGGACCATCATGAGCCACCTCGTTAAACTCCGCAGCTTCAGGTGAATTCATACTGAGTGTGATACTCGAGGTCCGACGAGAGCGACCAGCACGCAGAGATTGCTCAAATGCTGAGTCCACGCTAGGGTCATCAAACATTTTAGGTTCATCGTGCAGTACCATCATTGGTAGGGCTGGCTTCTCCAGCTTATCGAGAGATAAATGCAGCTTCATCTTGCGCTTGATTGGGTATCCATCTTGCTCCTGTACGGGGCTCGCCTCACGGATCTGAGCTTCATTGTCGACGTCTAGAACTGTGTAAAGTGTAGGAACACGTTTTTGACGGAACTGACGAGCTTGACGCGCTGCTGTGGCTGCAGCACGGACACTTGCGTGGACGTTTGGGCTTGCCAAGCCGTGAACGGAACTGACACGGTCGCGATAGAACTCACGCTGATTGAAGCGTGCTCCATAACCTTTTCCATTCCGAACAGGGAATGACGCTGCTGTAGCGAGCATGTGGACTTCTTGTGTTGTTCGGCTATGAGAATGAGTGGCAGGGTGAACGTGAGAGTGGCAAGATAAGATGAGGATAACGTCTCCATTCACTTCATCCTCCCTATTTTTACTTAGCTGCTAACTCCTGGTTCTAACGCGAAAGTGTTCATGAAGCTGGACAAGGCGAGTTTCTGGATACTGCGTTTGCCTGCTGGATCGCTCCACGAGAGGTTGTGTACAAGTGCTTCCATGCTCTGTTTGAGTGCGTCGTCTCGAGTCTTTTCAGTCAATTCGGCGAGATACACGACACCACTGTGACGGAAATGACCCGGAGGACGACGAGTGTCCAGCTCACAGATCAATAGGAGACAGTAGGCTTGATCGCAGCACAAATTACAAAGTAGATCAGATAATGCAATGCCGAAATTTATAGTATCCGGATCGGTAGCAGCTCGTAAGAAGAGCGATAAAGCCGCTGATAACCTCTCGGGTATAGCAGACACACGACTTGAATCTACCGCTGTGACGTTAGTGAGCACTTCAGCTGCAAGTTCTCGCCAGTATAATGAGCCCTAGACAGTGATTAGTGAGCGTGAAGAACAGCAATTCCAAACTGTAAAACGTACTTTGTCAGATAGTAGTATCTCCCATATACTTTGGACCAAGTCGGTGGGTAATTTTGTGCATTCGCAGCCTGAACCGCAGAGATTTCTCAATCCTTCGAGAACAAACGGAACGTAGTCATTGAGTTGTTCTGGAAGAACACTCAGTGTCTGGAATACAGTCTCGATTGTTCCCAGCTCGTGCATCTCGGCTGAGATATCTGAATCGATACTGGCATGACATAGCGCAACCACTAACCGTAGCGTTAGGTTGCTATAGTCATACATTAACGCAGACATCGTACACGTAAACTGAAGCGAGTCATGGACTTCGTATTCCTCCCACCTAATGTAGACAATGCACCGTCAACATTTTGACTCTTTTTCTCATCAAAAATCCACTCAAACCAGAAACTTTCGTTGCTCCAAAGACCTCCGACGTGCTCCATGCGTAGCCGAGCGTTGCTTGTTCTTCCAGAATGCGTGCTAGATGATCCACTACAGGCAATTAATTCCTGTGAATACCAGTTCATTTCGTTTCAGTAACAGATACAAAGAAATCCTACCAAGCGCAGTGACACCATCAGCTTTTCGAAACTCCTCGCGGTCGTCGGCATCCACCAGTCTCATGGCCAACTCGGCGAGCGCGTTTCTCATGGATACACTATCTTTTCCTTGTCGAAAACATTCCAGTGGGGTAGCAATGGGTCCATCTGATCGACGAGTTTTTCGTGGCGAAGACGTGGAGGTTTCCATCATTAATGAGGCAACGAACTGGCCACCGTTGACTGGAAAAGGTCAAGAATACACTATCAATAGCAAGTTGAAGACGGACTTATCCGTTTGAAGTCTCTATGGTCGAAGCTTTGTACCCAGTGTCTAAGATCCTGATGTATCTCAATACACGTCAGTACCATACAAGATCATGACACGTGGCTTGAATGAATGATGATCTCTTTGCGAATTTTCGCTGCTGCGATCTTGTTCACTTCTCAACTTGATTCTCTTCCATCATGTCTTCACTTCCAGTCTTCGTCCCCGCAGTATCGAATCAAGAAGCTCAGGAGATGCGATGTGGATACAGAAGCAAAAGGTGTGAACTTCCTAGATCACTCAAGCGTAACGGGAAGCTCCATCGATTCTGTGACTACCATCGGATGAAGGCAAACGTGAACCAACGTCGCGTTGACCAAAAGCGCAGAGAGATGACCCAAAAACAGACAGCAGATGCATCCGTTAGCCCCAGATCGACACAGGACGCGTCTTTCCTTCCTGACGTCGCGTGGTACGACGACTTGGATCCAGAAGACCTCGAGTATCTCGACCAATTACTGTCTTCTGGAGGAGTTGAAAATATGGATTTCAATGGTGGTGATCGGTCTGATGTTGTTTCAAACAAGTGAATAAATCGAAGGCACGCCATGTCCTAGAATACAGTTTAAGCGGTCTTGCAAAAAAAAAAAGAAACCGTAGGAATTACGCGTTTTGTTAATGTTCACTTGTATGTAAGTATGTATGTATGTGTGCGCCAGGTCATTAGGTTAAAAATTGAAGGTTCTGGTCTGTTTGCAGTCGATTACTACTTTTGCTTGCTGCAAGTCAGAGAAGTCGCTTGCTACGTCTACACATCCCTATAAGGCTACGCTTCCGCGAGGTTCGTTTTGATGAATGATAAAAGCACTTTATCATTTCGAATTCAGTCTGAGTCAGAACATGCTCTTAATTAGCCATGATAATCGCCCGTGCTATATCTACTGTGTGAAGATTCTGCATCGACCGCACGCTCTGTTGCCTCAATAATGTTGCATCAATAATTTGTTAGAGCAAGAGTCTTCACGTTGCAAGTGTCGGTAAAACAGCAGGCAGATGATCTTTCCATCCACAGTGTTATCGATCTAATGTACATATCCGAATAGTTGGTGTATTGTGAATTCCGTCCAAATTTGCCGATTTGGGTCTGTTTGAGGAGCGGGAGGACAATCGCCCTCATACAAATCCAAGTCATTAGTAGAACACCACATGCCATGATCTTATTTCGTACTTAAACGGGTCAGTATACGGTATTATTTACGCTGGGCGATTTGGGGGAGGTTCATTCAAAGAACCGCCCATGGAAATTTTGAGTAGAACTCACAATACTTACGCTTCACGAAAATATGACCGCTGAGAGCACATCCATCGCGCATATCTTCAGCATTCAACGATGAACATGTGAATTCATACTTGAACTTGCTACGATGATTACTGAACTAGACACGCTCTTGTGTTTACATGCATTTATTTTACCCGTACATTTTCTGTCGTTGAATCAGCGTCCCGCACTCACTTGATATAACAGCGCGATCATTGATCGTGACATGCACGACGCATAAAGAACTAACAACAGAGCACAACACCAGTATACAGCCTCCTCCAGGCCTACTTGCTGTAATTTACGCTGCAAGACACACCCAGAGGTGTAACAGGACAGACGGACGGCGTTAAGACGCGTCTTATAAGTTTCCACAAGTATTCTAGAGGAAATTCGTAAGAAATCAAATAGAAGGCCACTTTTCCACCACTTCCTCGACATCAAGCCCAAGGAATCATAAACGCACAGTAGGGGCACAAGATCTCTTCAAGTCAGAGGTGGTCTACCCCTAGCCCCGCCTATCCAAATCTGAAAACAGAAATGTAGTTTGAAGATTTATTAACCCCTAAAAACCGAGTGGAAAAAAATCAATGCGATATTACCATCTTGCATATTTTTCTGCTGCATATTATGCAACATGGTAGTGTTGATTTTATTGTACCGTACTGAAATTTTTAATACTTTGGAGGTCGAAATCAAAAAAGAAATCAATAAAAGAGAATACCATTGTGTATCGTACGAGACACGAGAAGGCGTCCAATCAGAAACCTCCGTTTGCGATAAATGATCGCATAAATCGTAGAGCGATTTAATTTTATCACTTTCTTACTTTGACCTTCTCCTTAACGACCTACGCCAGGTCACTCCATTGAAGAGATGATGCGCAGTTTTTGATGCCCGACTTGACCAATCAGGAGCAAGTATATTGCTCTTTTATATTTTTCTCTCTTTTTTTTACTTCGACCTGGTCCAAGTGGGGGTTAACCAGTTTTTTTTTCACGTTATTTTTTTCAGATCTGATTGGCTGGGAAAAGTTGCCCAGTAGTACGAAAAGACGACTGTTACTACAAAATACTTTTTTGTGTGGAAATGGGACGTCCTTTTAGAATGCCGTACTGAAAGCCTCACGCTTTGAAAGCGGTTGATTCGCCCCAAGAAGCGAATCCCATGCCATAGCGACGGACCAGATGCAAGAGTGACCTCTCTGGATGCGCTTATGCGTTGCATAGCGAGAAAATCTATGGTGCTACGTTCCAAAAAGGGGAATCATCTACCTGTTTGATTAGATTTTAGTAATTTCTCGATACCTCACCGAGAAAAAATAACTGCGAGCATGGACAACGCCTATTATTGCATCGACTGATTGTTAGCGGCGCCAGCGAGATTAGACAAAGTACGTACAAAGTCTTCGTCAAGCTTACCGACTTGCACACTATTCGCTAATTATCATCATTAAGATGGTGTCAACGTAAGCAAAAAAAGAATCTTTACTCCACGATTGAGGCATACGAAAGCACGCAAGCACCAGCACTTGCGCTTTCCCCCTGCTAATCATACGAACGCACCCAAGTACCAGCACTTGCGCTTTTTTCCTGCTCGACATGCGACTTTTGTGGTGTCTGTTACTCGCTGTCTTCGCTACTACCCTCATAGTCAGCAAAGCCAACGACACTTCGCCGCACTTGGATGATCTGGCATTTAGAGCTCAAGAACCCAAATTGCGTCAACAGCTCAGAGGTGAAACTAAGACGAAAACCATGAGTGGTGATGTTGCGCCGGATGCTTTTGGAGGTGAACTGAGAGCCGCGTTTCCAGCCATCAGTACGATTTTCAGCAAACTACAAGACAGCGTCAAGATGATGTCGCCGCACAAAAGGTTTTTGACCAAGATGGAAGGTATGTATGAGTGAGGAGTGACTCCAGAAAGCCTCGCGCAACTCTACGGTCCGAATAAGAAGGCTAAATTCCAAGAACAGTTTCGTCAGTTCTACAAGTGGAGATTGAGCTGGCAGACACAGCGAGCTTACCCAATGCCTCGCAAGGCCACCGCTGGACTACGAGCAGCGACATGACAACAAGTCTCGGGTTGATGACTACGACCCAAATAGAAATAGTGAACAAAAGATTACAACGAATTAAGTGTAAACTTAACTTAATCATCCACACACTTTCAACTTGTATTCTTTGTATCCATTGAGCGAGACGGATTTCTTACAGTTCTTTTCGTGATACTCCCAAGCAACAAGATGGAATAGCAACTAAGTCCTTGGTGGTCAGAGTTTCAAAATATCGGATGCAGCGATAGTCAAGTCAAATTTTGAAAAAAAAAAGCGCCATTTTATTGGTATGTGACATTAGTAAGAATCTGTTGGACGCTGTCGGATTCGTACTTATGTGAAGTATTGCCAAGTCGACGCAAAGTCAGCAATTCCATTTACTTAACGATGTAGCTCAGAAATGGTGTGTACCTGGTTACATATACAAGTACTTACGCAAGGTGAGATAAAGAAAGCGTGTCTTCAACTCGAACGCTTTATATTGCGAGCTTTACTAGATTCGGATTACATCTAGTTTTGAGCAACCAATAAACTAGTTGGATATGTTTAGGTAGTTCTGGCTGATCAGTTCACCTAGCAAGTGGATGCCTTATGGACCTCTGTTTCAATGTTGAGCTGGTAGCAACAATATGACAAGGAAAAAGCTACTAATTCTCTGTATTATCTTCTTCAAATTAATTTCCAGGAGTCCACTTTAGTATGTATGTTACGAAGAAGAAGATTCTAATAGTTGCTTTACGCTCGATTCGCACAGAAAAACTAAGGCCGTACGCTGCCCGGGAAGCTCTGGATATTTCACGTTGATAGCAGACGATTCTTTTAACTAACAAACCTACCTGAAAACAAAAAAAACGGTTCGCTGTGGGTTGTACGTCCGGTCGAGACGCCGATACCGCGAACACGACAAGCACGGTATGCCATAAGCAAGCCATTCCATACAGTAAGAATCCACAACCACCAACTCCTGCTATTGAGTCGTCGTCGTGCCTACCTCCGAAGAGTGGAAGGACCTTGTCGTGTGTGCGTGAATGCACCATGACCTGGCGTCTACCGATCAAACAGAACGTATAGCTGCAAGTGATACCCGTTGGGCTTAGCTCGGTGAGGTACGAAGACGACACAATGGGGAAGAATACCACAAGAATGCGGGTTATGGATCGAAGAACTCGTTGAATACTGCTGGGTCGTTGTGACCACTAGGTCAAGCATCTGCATGCATGGGTCATTATTTACTTCTTCGTGTTTTGGTACACTACTCTGCAGATATGTACTATTGCACCAGCAGCTGTATGCCCCACTAAGCACGATCGAATATGCAAAGAACTCTTATCAAGGCGTCATTAAATGCTAGCGTGATAGTTCTCATATTGTCCTCCAAAAAAAGTCTCTCAAATACTTCAAGACAAAGAGCCACAACGCTTCATTGTGATGTTGCACGAATGTTGTTCTTGGCAGACTGGACCAACATTCTCTGTGTGGGATAAGATTTTACGGTTCATAAGTCGAATTATCAAGCTCATTACAAGGTACTTTTTCGATATTGCAAGCGTATTCAATTACTCTTTTATACAGGATATGTGAGAGTTTGCGATCCCGCTAAGAACGCTGGATATAAATATCCAGAGAATACATTTAGTGCTGTCCAACTTTTTCGACTCAACTACCCCCGTGAACGGACTTTAGCCACAAAACAGACTAGTAAATGCTTGGAAATGTCGTACAGCCATCCAACAACTGTCCGACTCATCCGTCCATCCAATTCCATAATATATGATCGTGTTAAGAGACGACCAACACTCACAGGGCCATTGCGTTGGAAAATCCCCACCACCACCACCACCACTCTGTAGCTACATGAATTTCAACTAATCTCAACATAATACTAATAGCTAAACTGGCCGTAAGCTTACGCAGCCAAACCGCGCCCAATTGGGCTGGATAAACTCACACCTATTCCAACTGGTGGACAATTGGTCTCGATTCCCCCAAATGGGTTCATTCTCACAAAATCCAGCAAATGGAACTAGAAATACTTCGTACTAATGAGCTAGTCAAAGATTCTTGACTGAATTTTGACGTTGCACATTAGCTTCGAATAACCAACGGCCACAGCAACGTTACCCAAACACCATAATCCTTTAGATATGACGGAAGACGGCAACTCCATAAAGCAGAGCTACGTATACGTATTGGTTCATCAACATGGGACTTCCCCATTGACATCACATTTAAATCCGATCCTTCCTGATCAAATTTACCAGTTCACGCTATCGCGTACTTGGAAGTACTATTCTATACCCACCATGAACCCTTCGTATGATCAAGTGTCCAACAACCGCAGCTTCAATACCAACTACATCCAAGACCCCGCCGAAATGGGCGCGGCCTGTACCGCCTCGCTTATCCATGAGGGACATCGATGCCGATATCCAAGCAAACGGTGTGAATTCCCACGAGCAATTAAGCGCAACGGTGAAATGCATCGATTCTGCGATGCTCATCGCAACAAGGCCAATCTAAACCAAAGGCGCCTTGAAGCCCGACGGAAGAGAGAAATGGAGGACGCGAAGAACTCTCGACGAAAACGCAGGTCCACCTCGGCAGACAGTGAAAACTCGACGGATCAGCTGAATCACGCAGACTGTTCGTCGTATTCGGAGCCCTGTGGGTCTTTTTCTGCCCCTCTCCACTCTGTACTAGCGCAAGATGAACTCAACTTCCTGGGTGAGCTTCTTTCACAAAATAGTTTGGAAGATATACATGCGGAGAGCGCCGGAACCACAGCGGATTTATCGGCGAATTCGTTCTCGATTTAAAAAGGTTGAGGGAGCTAGTAGATAATGGACTGCAGTCAAATAATAGACCTCCTAGCGCGACGGTGATACTGTTAGCCATTTACAATACAGACCTTAAACTTCTTCGGGACGTCGCGATCCGCTATAATTCTTCAGCTTTTTGCTAGACAGGAAATACTAAGTGATAAGCTTGCTCGAGCTTAACTATATGGTAAAGAGCACTGCCCAGACTTGGAGCCTTAGTAGTAGCACCCCACCGAACCTCTATAGTGATTCGGTAGTAATCGGCAGTTTATTAGATTTTTAATACAACTGGAATAGTAAAGAAACTAAAAAGTAATAATTGAAACGAATACTCTTTTTTTGTTGGAAAGCAGAGTGTTGCTGGGGCATCCCAAGCAGACTAATTCGTTGAAGCTGGAAAGCTTAGCCGGTAACTAAGTCCTAAAGTCCTATCGAGTGAGCGCAGCAGATACCAGCAATATTTTGACCATTGAATATGCGTATTACTGATTACGCAATGTTACTGGACACGCGAAGAATATATATATTTTAATGCCATCAGATTTGACCATATACTAAGCTAGTGCATGTATTCTTCGCCAGTGTGTGCTACCTATTGTGGTAAAAGCAATTTCAATACCATCAACAGTATATTATTGATGATAGCGAATTGCACAAGATAATGCAAAGAAAAAATGTATTGCCAATAACAAATCTTGCTTGTTATTAACACGATGATGGAGTAAAACTACGATCATCGAGCTTTTTGCACATGCCTTAGAAATTCAAAGCTCCCCCCTACGAAACACGGCTAAACACTCTAGTATTTTTATTCTGGGTTACTCCACCGTTGTCATGTCGCTGCTCGAAGTCCAGCGGTGGCCTTGCGAGGCATTGGGTAAGCTCGCTGTGTCTGCCAGCTCAATCTCCACTTGTAGAACTGACGAAACTGTTCTTGGAATTTAGCCTTCTTATTCGGACCGTAGAGTTGCGCGAGGCTTTCTGGAGTCACTCCTCGCTCATACATATCTTCCATCTTGGTCAAAACCCTTTTGTGCGGCGACATCATCTTGACGCTGTCTTTTAGTTTGCTGAAAATCGTACTGATGGCTGGAAACGCGGCTCTCAGTTCACCTCCAAAAGCATCCGGCGCAACATCAT